TGTCTCCTGCGTGCTCCCATAGCCCCCGACCCAACCCATCTCACTGAATCACTATCTACTTCACCGACTCTACCGCTAGGCTATATAAGCACCATGATGAAAAAGCCCGTGTGCAGGTCCCAGCACCCAGAGCAGTGCCTGGCACATAGTAGGTCCTTAGCAGCATCAAATCTTCCCAAACAAAGAGGAGTTTCAGGGCAAGGAGGTGTTTCTGAGCTTACTGCTTTGAGTGAAATGGAGTAAGGCAGCCACTAGAGGGCAGCAGGCAGGCACTTCCCGGGTGTAGACTCTACCCCACCCCAGGTCCCTGCCAACAGCCAAGGCGTCTGCACAAAGCTCTTCCTAAGACATCTTTTTCTCTCTTGTTCCCTCTGCAGCTCAAGCCTCTGGATCACCCTTCAGTCCTCACTGCCAACTACAATTGGTTAGCTCTGAGTTCACGGTTGCCGGGGAAAAGGGCTCTCAGCCCCAGACGAGCATTCAATGACCCCGAGCAACCTGGCTTTAAGGCTCCAAGCCAGCCCTTGACCTATCCCTAAACTGATCCAATCCTCCAGGCCCTGCCTTGAGCTGCCTTCTCCCACAGACTCTGACTACCAGACTGGGCCAGCCAAACCTTGACCTAGTGCCACCTCTTCCCTGCATCTGGAATCCCAGGCTTATGCTTCCTGCCCCTCTACTCCCAAAGGACGCTCCTTCAGTCTAAAGAGATCAAAAGTCCCTTCCAGAAAAACTCCCCTTTCGTCAATACAGCCAAATTGCACAGAAGAGTTTATGCTAGAGGAGCTGAAAAGTTAGAAAAGGAAGTTCAGCTACTTTTTACTGACATGTAAACGGCTGATGGACTTAAAACCCTTCTGAATACTCTAACGTTTTATGTCCTAGAGCTTCCAAAACACAAGGTCCCCAAAACAAAGACTCTAGGCCCTGGCCTGATGACGGGTGACCCTACACAAAATGACAAATGCTCTGTAGACACGAGACAGTTATTTCAAGGTTTATAAAAACTGCAACTACTTGCTCGAACTCTTGCAGACATAAAGCTATGTTTTTTTTTTTTTAAAGAACTGAAACCAAACGCAGACTATGAGGAGTGAAGATACGCCCAAAGACCTAAACCTTAGAAGACCGATTATACTTCTGAACCCACCTTGGTGGGTACGGCTGCTCCATCAGGCCCGGTCCACACCAGGACCCTGGCACCTCCTTTAGAGAACTCCCACCTTTACCGACTTCTGATTGCCGTGACTCAGAGCAGCCACCACGTCCAAAATCACTAGCTACGCTTTTTCCTGTTAGTCAAGCTCCAAGCCTGTGTTAGCCCCTTCCCAGCCATGCCGACATCCAAGCTGTTGACAGTAACAAGGAACGTGAGACCTGTTGTTAGTCAGAAAGAAATCCACAAGCCATTAGTTTCTGCTGAAAGGAACAGACAGACCAGGAAGGCAGGAGTTAGTCACACGGTGAAGGAAAGGTTAATGAAGAGCTGGTCAGCCCCAGGCGGGGAGCCTGAAGCCCCCAAGACAGGCCAGGTGGGTTGGTAGTGGGCAGCCCCTGGGGGGCAGTCAGGGCCAGGCAGGGATTAGCTGGGTGAGAGCAAGAGTTAGCGCAAGAGAGCCAGAGATTAGCCCAGAGAGACCAAGGTGCCTACTGGAGGTGAGGCATGAAATCACCCCCAGGTGTGGCCCCGGCTTAGCGGCTGGCGGGCTCTGGGGGAGGCAGGCTGAGGCAGGGACGTGGGTGGGAACGGAAAGCCAGGGATGCACTCCTGGCCGGCCTGAGCGGCTGCGGGAACCCTGTAAGCCCCTTAAGTTCATTCATTGCTCCCCACTTCTACCTCCTGCGAACTCCGAGCCCGGGGGAAAGCTGATTGCCCTCCCCACCCCGCCTTTTTCACGCCCTCTAGCGGCTGGGCGTGGGAACAGATCTTTTTCAATGACTTCCGGTCATGGCCCCACGTCTACTTCCGATAAGGAAAACCCGCCTCTCTCAGGTCGAGACGGGACAGTCCTCTCTAGGTGACTTTCTGTGTGGGAAAGAGCCCTCCCACTGACTTACGGTGTCAGAAATGTCCCTCTCCTTCAAATATGGGAAAAGTTCCTCCGGCCGACTTCCTGCGTACTAAAGACTCCTCTCAGTGGTTTTTAGCGTCAGGAAATGCCACTTCACTGACTTCCGGCGTAAGGCTCCGCCTCCTGACTTCCTATGTGGGACACGCCCCCTCTGCCAATTTCCGGTGACGGGCACGCCCCCTTCCTGACTTCCTCGTGGGACACGCCCCCTCCTGACTTCCTCGTGGGACACGCCCCCTCTGCCAATTTCCGGCGACGGGCACGCCCCCTCCTGACTTCCTCGTGGGACACGCCCCTCTCCTGACTTCCTCGTGGGACACGCCCCCTCTGCCAATTTCCGGTGACGGGCACGCCCCCTCCTGACTTCCTCGTGGGACACGCCCCCCTCCTGGATTCCTCGTGGGACACGCCCCCTCTGCCAATTTCTGGTGACGGGCACGCCCCCTCCTGACTTCCTCGTGGGACACGCCCCCCTCCTGGCTTCCTCGTGGGACACGCCCCCTCTGCCAATTTCTAGTGACGGGCACGCCCCCTCCTGACTTCCTCGTGGGACACGCCCCCCTCCTGGCTTCCTCATGGGACACGCCCCCTCTGCCAATTTCCGGTGACGGGCATGCCCCCTCCTGACTTCCTCGTGGGACACGCCCCCCTCCTGACTTCCTCGTGGGACACGCCCCCTCTGCCAATTTCCGGTGACGGGCACGCCCCCTCCTACTTCCTCGTGGGACACGCCCCCCTCCTGGATTCCTCGTGGGACACGCCCCCTCTGCCAATTTCCGGCGACGGGCACGCCCCCTCCTGACTTCCTCGTGGGACACGCCCCCCTCCTGACTTCCTCGTGGGACACGCCCCCCTCCTGACTTCCTCGTGGGACACGCCCCCCTCCTGACTTCCTCGTGGGACACGCCCCCCTCCTGACTTCCTGTGCAGGGTCGCTCCTACTCCTGCCGCTTAGCAATGGAAAAGATCCTTCCCCGGCTTCCTTCCCGAGAAGGATACAAAAGCTCAGAGCTCCACAGTCTAGAGTCTAGACTCTAGACCCACAGGCCTCCACACTCACGTCCCCAAGGTTTCCCTGGTCCCACCTACTCCCAGTGGCAACCAGACTTCTGCACAGAGGATGCATGTCAGAGTCCAGCCTCCCACATCCACAGGACCACCTCCTCCTCTGAGTCTTGTTAATAGGGCAGTCCCCTGCCTTAGACCTGGCCCAGTGGACCCTGATCTTACAGCCAATGTGGGGCAGCAAAGTGGGACATCTGTCTATAGGGCCAGTAGCCCCAGGTCATCTGCTTGCCAAAAGGAGGAGGACCAGCCCCCAGAGGGGAGCCCAGAGCTCGGCAGGGCTGGGGTTAGTAAGAAGAGAAAACGGTTAGTAGGGGCTGGGTTAGTAGTCAGCACAGCACCAGCGGACAGGGCACCTCAGCAGACACACACAGGAGTCGCTAGGAGAAAAGGAAGAACGCACGCAGGTCCGTTAGTTTGTTAAGGGATGATGGGGTGCAATTGAGGCACCCCGGGGTTAGACGGGTTAGTAATCGAACAAAAGAGCTGCCTACAGAAAAGAAAGCTGAGACGGAGGAAGAATGTGGGGAAGTGACAGTTAGGGGTTCAAAGCAAGTGTCTGGCCCCAGGCAGAAAGATCTGTGTGCAGAATACCCGGGCAGGCCAGGGCCTAGGCAGCAGGCGTGTTCAACCAGGTTTGGGGGGACTCCCTCCAGCTCCGTCCTTTTTTTTTTTTTTTAAGTATCTGCCATGTGCCAAGACCCTTATATTCATGGGAATCCTCACTGCAACCTGTGAGGTATCAGTACTCCCATTCTATCACAGAGGAAACTGAGGTTGAGAGAAGTGAGGTGACTTACTCAAAGTCACCCAACAGGAAGTGGCAGAGTTGATGAGTCTTATTTGCATTCCCTGTCCTGGAACGTGGGTCTGCACAAAGATCCCAGCCCATAGGCAGAGCCTTCTGGAGCCTTGGCTGCCCCTATATCCCAGCCCCTTGAAAGGCCCATGAGCTGCACGGTTAGTAGGATCTGACTGCGGGGGGTTAGTAGGGCATGCTCGGGCCTGGTTAGTAGGTTAGTTGGTTGGCAGAAGGCCAGGCACCTCGTCACACGCCACGGCATCCCCGCCGAGCCCTGGGTTAGTAGGTTAATCACACCATGCAACACTGCCCCGGCCCCTCCAGCTGCAGCTCCAGAGGCCTCCCGTCCCCACCAGCCAGGGAACGGAGCCTGACCAGGGCAGGGGGTCTACCTCTAAGCCCCTCAGCCCCACCAAAATCAATCCTAACCATATGGCCCCTGCCCAAAATGCTGCTTCCCTATTTACCGGCTGTGGGTCTCAGATTAACCCCTGGAAACATTTCAGCCCCCTGATAATGGACCCTACTTGTCCTGGATAGAAACCCCCTGCCTGGTTCTGGTCAGCCCCTTCCCAGAGGGCTGGATCCTGTTACACTCTGGCATAGACACACACAGACCAGCATCTCGCCACAAAAGATCTGACCCTCGTGCTCAGTAGACATTTCTTCCAACAGCAACTGCCAGGCCTCTAGTTGTTCCAATTATTGGCCTGCCCTCCCCCAGTTAAAAAACAAACAAAAAAAAAAACTGCATTATATCGGCCTGGCTCCTGGAACTAAGTTGAGACTCCCTGTGCCCTCCCGGCCTGCTTCCTTTTCAGCCAATGCTACAAAATACCTGAGTGTATCCTAATTATGCCATCTTCTACCACTGCTGGACTTTTCCCACAGAAACCCCAGTCTAGCATCTCCCACAGTTCTACACGATGATCCATGAGTATTTGAAATTGCGATTAGCATCTTAAAGGCTCTGATAAGTCCTGCATGACTTCAGTAGTGCAGCAGAATTTGAATTTGAACCTGCTGTTTGTTTTTGTTGTTGTTTTTTTGGGGGGGTTTTTTTTTGTTTTTTTTTTTTTGTTTTTCTGAAAGAGCAATGACACTTCCTAGAACTTACTCTGGGAATTTCACTAGAGGGTCTCATCTCAGCCAGATCTTTCTCATCCTTCAAGGCCCTGGTTGGTACAGCTTGCTAGGAAGCTGTTCCAGACTGCAGCAGCCCTCTCTGGGGTCTCTCTCCCACTTACCAAGCACTTACCAAGTACTCAGAACTTGTACCTCCATAGACCGTGAGCTGGTTTTACCCATCCAGCATGGATGTGAAATCATAAGGTTCAAACCCTGCCCACTCTTCACCCATATTTCCCCCAAATGGCTAGCACAGGGAAGACCCCAGAGTAGGTGCTCAATGCTGATGAGAGAGTAGAATTTAAATACCCCAGGAAGCATCGTGAGTTACTATGGAGGCCATGAAATGCTGCCACCTCCCCAAGCTGATTAGAGAGGGATATTGCGGAAACAGCCAGGGGAAGGGCTGATCAGAAACGCCTCTGGATCAGAAGATGCTGAGGCTTTAAGTCCAGAGAGCCAACCAAAAAAAAAAAAAAAAAAAAAAAACAGGATAATCCCTAAACCTATACTCCAGGATGGATGGGAGCATTTGCTGAGCACCTACTGGGAGTCCAGCGCTGTGCCAGGCATGCGATCTCACTGACTCCTCCCTGCACCTGACGGGTGAGCATGTGCCTTTCATTTCACAGAGAAGTTGAGGCTCAGAGGTGAAGTAACTGGCCCAAGATTGTAGCCCAGGCTCTTCTCAGGACACGGCTCTCCCAGGGGCCCCTCCTTTCTGCACCGAGCCCAGCCAATTCCATACGTCCTCCGTCCGTCCTCCGAAGCACTCCGGAGCCACCCCAGCATGGTACCTGTCACTCTCAGTGTCTGCTTCCCATACCTCTGTTCCCCTTCCCCCTCCCTGGGTGGGGAGTGGGAATTCTGAAGGGGAGATGGCCCTGGCTTTCCGGGTTTGTGGTGATCACACTGTTAAGGACGGAATGGTGTCCCCTCCCCCAAATGCTTGTGTTGAAGCAGTAGCCCACTAAGTGACTGCTTTTGGAGATGGGACCTTTAAGGGGTTAAAGTTAAATGAAGTCACAGGGTCGAGCCCTAATTTGATGGGATTGGTGTCCTTATAAGGAGAGGAGGAGACACCAGAGCACGCTCCTGCCGTCCTTCCCTCTCCGTGGAGAAAAGGTCACGTGAGGACACAGCAAAAAGGTGCCACCTGCAAGCCAAGGAGGGAGGCCTCGCCAGAAACCAACTCTGACACCTCGATCTTGGACTTTCCAGCCTCCAGAACTGGGAGAAAGTACATTCCTGCTGTTTAAGCCATCCAGTCTGTGGCATGGTGCTGTGGCAGCCCATGCTGATGAAGAGTACACAACCACCCTCCTCCCCATTCTGGGAAAAAGGACATCTGGCTTTTAAACTTGTCTAAGGGAGGCCACAAGCTGCTCTCCGGTAAACACTGGGACTGTCCCCTCCAGAGGGGGCTGTAATCGGAGGAGGAAAGCCGAGAGGTGGGCATGTAAGGAAAACTGCACATGGAGAGGCAGATCGTGGGGGCTGTCCTGCCACCGTCTGCTCCCCAAGAACAGAATCCAGGAGCAGTGCGGCTAGAAGCAGGGATCTGACTGGAGCAGAGTGTCCCGAGACTGGGCTCAGGTGGCCCCTGCAGCCTTTGGGTAAGGCTGGTTCCCTTTGAATGGCAGGAAAAACACCCAGGGCCACCTATCTCTTTCTAGTGAATTTCCCTGGCCTAGATCTTCTTATCCCGTAAAGACCCTCTCTTCTCAGGACGGTGCACACTCAGCCCCCCTAGCTGCCCCTCCCAGAGTTCAGCAACGCAGGGGGAAGGCCCCAGCTCCCCCCAAGTCCTGACTATCTCCCCTTTTCACCATCAGGGAGAGGGAAAGCATGGAAAAGCCCCACCAAGGAGGCCCCCCGCAAAAATGACAGTTTCACACAGGCCAAACGGAGACAGACAGAGGACTCCAGCCAGTGTCACCTGAGAAGCTGCACCGGCCCTCCCACCGACAGCCCCTCCCCGACTCCCATCCCTATTCCTGTCCCCATCCTGTAGGGTCATTTGAGACCCAGCTCTGGGGAGAGTGTGGTCAGTGGTGACCAGGCTCTGTCTGGTCACCGGCAGAAACTCGAGGAGGAACCAAGTTCACATGGCGTCAGGAAAGGGCCCCCAGCCCCAGACAATAGGGCCCAGCCAGCAGGTGAGGAGGGAGTATCGGGCTGCCAGGCCTCCCTCATCCCCCTGGAGCCACATCCAGTCGTCAAACACCAGCCAGGAAGAGCTCCTGTCCATGGGAGGCTGCATCTCAACGGGTGAGGAGGATGAGATTGTCAGGGAGTCACCCAGGGGGCTAGAAAACCATCAGAGTCTGCTTGATAAGTCCCTGTGGCCAGAGTCCAGGGTCACCCGAGGTCCAAAGAGAAGGCCAGGCCAGGAGTCCCTGAGATTCGGCCCAGATGGAGCCACCTGGGGTGTGGGGCAGGGACACAGCGAGTGAGGATGAGGCCACAGCCTCCACTCCCAGCTTCCCACATCCCCCCAGCCTAATTCTGCATCTCAGAGATCCCCCTGCCCCAATATCTCTCTCATGGCCCCAGCACACACACAGGGTGGAAGGGAGGGCTTTGGACATGAAAGTCTTTTAGAAGGAGCTTAGGCCAGGCACAATGACTCCCACCTGTAATCCCAGCACTTTGGGAGGCTGAGGAAGGAGGATCACTTGAGCCCAGGAGTTCGAGACCAGCCTGGGCAACATAATGAGACTCGGTCTCTATAGAAAATTAGCCAGGCATGGTCGCATGCACTTGTAGTCCCAGCTACCCAGGAGGCTGAGATGGGAGGATGTATTGAGCCCAGGAGATCAAGGCTGCAGTGAGCCATGATCATAACACTGCACCGTAGCCTGGGCAACAGAGTGAGACCCTGTCTCTAAGAAAAAGAAAATAAAATGTGTAAAAAGAGGAAGTAATGAAAGCTAAGAATACTCCACCAGGCAGGGTCAGCTCAGGGAGCCGGGGAAAGCAGTAAAGGGAGCCCGTGCAAGCCCCTAGAGCATCGCGGGCGGAGGAGGGGCAACAGTTTGAGTGGGTGGGAAGGACCTTCAGAGTCCTTTGATGGCTTGAATTCCTTTTACAACATTCCCACTGGGGGGAACCTCTGCACACCGCCGCCAACACACAGACACACACACACACACACACACACACACACTCACTCGCATACACACACTGCTCCCGGGATGGGGAGCTCACCCCCGCGCTGAGACCGTAATGAAGCGTGTTCTGACATGAAGATCCGAGCAGACGGGACCACGTCTCTGGGTTCACCTCTGCCTCCCCAGCATCTGGCTCAGAGAAGGTGCTTGGTCCGTGCCGGGGCTGAATGAAGGAACATGCTAAATTCTCTGCTCGAGCTCACCCACGCTGGTCCTCACTCCAGCCCACCCACCCGCACCAAGACCACACAGAGCAAGCCCTCCAGGCACCCGGCTCCCAGGCCATCTTCTCATGAGCAGGAGCGTTCTGGGCCTGAGGAGGGGGCACAGGTGGGAGGGACAACCTACCCCCATGAAACTCAACTCCATGTGACCTCCCTCCCTCCCTCCCTCCCTCCCTCCCCAAATCCCTCCCAGGCTTACCTGGCAGCATGCAGCCGGCACACAGGCAGCCCAGGCTCCCAGCTCCTTCCTTCCCTACACAGACCCCACAGGCCCCTCCTGGAAGACAAAAGAGGGAAGCGCACGGCAGGAGAAACCCGCACCCAGCCCCTCTCCCCAGGCTCAGGCTTTGCCAGACTCCCTGCCAAAGATAGAAGGCCCCGCAGCCAGGGAAGCTGAGGCACACCACCCTCCCCCTCCCTTTACTCCACCCCGAAACATCCTTAAAAGGTGAGCAGAGAGGGGAGAGGGGTTCCCTTCACTCACGCCCTGTTTCCCAACAGCAGCAGAATGCAACCAGCGAGAAAGGAGGAAAAACTGAACCGCTTGGTGAATTGCTGCTGAATGGAGAGTTGGGAATCCAGAATGCTGATCCCAGCTCTGCTCCTGCCACACCGGGTAGCCCTGGGACCCTTCCTGCCTTGACATTCAAGGGACACAACAGTAACCCATGGTTTGAAGCACTGGATGGAAATGGAAGGGACCCTTCTGCCCAGCCTCAGTTATTTTTCTGCTCCCCTCCTCCCCTGCCCTTTCCTGATGTGCCAACGCACCCGAGGAAATTCGAGGAGCCAGAGGCTGGAGTAGGACTCCTTTAAGACCAACCTGAGTCATCAATCTGGAGAAGACCAGAGAATGACCGCTAATCCTGACCTAGCACCACCTGCCAGGTTTTGCTTTGGGTAACAGCTGTGCTGTCTTCATCGATGGCAGGCCTGAGTCTGGAGAGTCAGGGAGCCTTCTCAGCATATTTTCAGAGCTTGCTGTCGGCACCTAGGAGTGGGGGCACGAGTCCAGAGCTGGAGACGAACTCAGACTCTGGCACTGAGAAAACTGCATCTAAAGGCACAGAGCGAAGTCTCCACTAAACTGCAAGGCTGAGGAACCCAAGCCGAGGTTTATAAACAGGATAACAAAATGCCGAAACTAAGAAGAGAAGGGCCAGTTCGCGTCACCCAGGAGTCCCCAGCCTCCTTCTAATACCAGATTTACAGGCACACGAGATGAAGTCATTTAACTCAGCCATCCAAAAGTTCCAGATGTTGACGTTTATAAAACACTAGCCCTGAGGCCAACAGTGGAGTGTGAAAGTCACCCTTTCTGGGACCCCATAAAGTGGGGACAAGCACGTTCTCTCTTCCGTAGAGGTAGAAAAGTGAATGACCCATTTCCCCTCCCGCTGTGGGATTCTAGGATGCCACACTTTCCCGCACAGACCAGAAGAGGGCAGGCTGGTAGGCTAGGGGCTGGTGAGTTTCAATACTTATCTGCAATGACACTTCTCAGCGTGGTTGTGAACGGCCTGAAGAGCCTGGAAATTCCCTTCTCGCTCCTCTGTCCCAGGAACTTGGTGTTCTCTGTAAATAGACCCTGGGCTGCTCAGAGGAGCCTGGCTTGGTCCACAGTAACTGTTTCCCCTGGCTCTGTGGACCTAGAATCACAATATTAATAAGCCGATGGAGGTTTTGCGGGACCTTTAGCTAGCTCCTGGGTGAAGCTGACACCATCTTAGAGGGTACAAAGGAAGGCATGGGCTTTGGGACCAGAGAAACCTGGAGGAGACTGTGGCTCCCTCACCCCCACATACTCAATGTGTGACTCAGTGTTCATGATATATTTTTTCTGGAGACGGGATCTTACTCTGTTGCCCATGCTGGAGTGCAGTGGCGTGATCGCAGCTCACTGCGACCTCCGCCTCCCGGGTTCAAGTGATTCCCCTGCCTTAGCCTCCTGAGTCCCTGGGATTACAGGTGTATGCCACCACGCCCGGCTAATTTTTTTTTTTTTTTTAAGGAGAGACAGTGTTTCACCATGTTGGCCAGGCTTGTCTTGAACTCCTAATCTCAGGCAATCCACCGGCCTCAGCCTTCCAAAGTGCTGGGATTACAGGCGTGAGCCATCACACCCATCCAAAGTTAATGATTTTCAAAGCTTAGCCAGTGCCTGGCACACAGTACATGTTCCAAAAATTATTTTCACCACTCAATGATTTAAACTTTAAGTAAATCTGTGTGTGACATTTATGTTCGAGAAATATGCACCGTATTTATCCTGTAGCATTAAATGTATATACCCCAGTTAGGCAGCACAGATCAAATTAAAAATCCCCTATCTTGGTGAATGAAAAAGCAAAGTGTGCCTTATCCACACAATGGAATCTACTCAACAATAAAAAGGAACAAACTGATACCTACTACAACATGGATGAACCTCGCAAACATCATGCTAAGGGAAGGAAGCCAGGCTCAGCAGAACACATATTGTATGATCTTGCTTATACAACATATCCGGAAAAGGAAAACTTACAGAGATGAGAAATAGATTCGTGGTTCCTGGGGTTAGGAATGGAATGCAGATGAATGATAAATGGGTAGGAGAGAGCTTATCGGGGTGGCAGAACTGTTCTAAAACTGATTTATGGTGAAGGTTGCACAACTCAGTACATTTACTAAAAAAATCATTGAACGTGTGAGTTATATGACATTTACACTATGCCTGCTGGGCACGGTGACTCACGCCTGTAATCCCAGCACTTTGGAAGGCCGAGGTGGATGGATCACCTGAGGTCAGGCGTTTGAGACCATCCTGGCCAACATGGAGAAACGCCATCTCTACTAAAAATACAAAATTAGCCAGGTGTGGTGGCACACGCCTGTGGTCCCAGCTACTCGGAATGCTGAGGCAAGAGAATCGCTTGACACCAGCAGACAGAGGTTGCAGTGAGCCGAAATCGTGCCATTGCACTCCAGCCTGGGCAACGAGAGCGGTGGCTCACACCTGTAATCTCAGCACTTTGGGAGGCTGAGGTGGGCAGATCACGAGGTCAGGAGATTGAGACCATCCTGGCTAACACAGTGAAACTCCATCTCTACTAAAGATACCAAAAAAGATTAGCTGGGCTTGGTGGCACATGCCTGTAGTCCCAGCTACCCGGGAGGCTGAGGCTGGAGAATTTCTTGAACCTGAGAGGAGGAAGGTGCAGTGAGCCAAGATGGCACCACTGTACTCCAGAAAAGAGCAACAGAGCAAGACTCCATCTAAAAAAAAACCACAACAAAAACTATGCCTCAATAAAATTGGACAGAACAGGAATTGAACTACTGAGACAAGCAACAGGAAGCATGAGCCTCAGCTGGGCACGATAGCTTACGCATGTAGTCCCAGCCCTTTGGGAAGCCGAGGCAAGCACATCACTTGAGGTCAGGAGTTCGAGACCAACCCGGCCAACAAAGCAAAAACCCATCTATACTAAAAATACAAAAATCAGCCGGGCGTGGTGGTGCACACTTGAAAGACTGAGACAGGAGAATCACTTGAACCCGGCAGGCAGAGATTGCAGTCAGTTGAGACGGTGCCACTGCGCTGCAGCCCTCACAACAGAGTGAGATCTTGTCTCGGAAAAAAAAAAAAGAGAGAGAGAAAAGAAAAAAAAGGATGAGCCTCAAAAGCATTCTGTTCAGCAAAAAAAAAAAAAAAAAAAAAGTTGAACACAGAAGCTTCCATATATATATGGAACATAAAAAAAAAATCCAATCTACTTCAGAGAAAGCAGGTCAGTGGTTTCCTAGGGCTGGTGCTGAGGCGGAGGGGATTGGCTGGGGAGGAACACAGGGGAACATTTTAGAGTGATGAAAATGTGCTACATCCTGATTGTGGCGATGGTTACACAGGTGTATACATTTGTTAAAACACAATGAAATGTGTGCTTTAAACGGGTGCATTTCCTTGTATGTAAATTACACCGCAATAAGGTTGTTTTTGCAAAACTCGTTTATATGTGATAAAAGAGGAATGGAACTAAGAGGCGCTAGATCAAAGGCCACACAGAGAACTGGCTGTGGGCACCAGGATCTCATTGTCTCGGCTCTCACTAGGCCCCACAGACCATCCCACTTCAAGCCAAGGTCAATCGGGAAAGGCATGATTGAGGAACTGGACCCGAGGGAGTCATCAGAGATCTCTCCCACCTCTAAGATTCAGGAGGTCTCAGTACATACGGATTTTGTGGTGGATCTGACCTCAAAGTATGAGGCGGTCTCTGCCAACCCCAGTGTACACAGGAAGAGGGGGGGGATCACCTTGGCTACTCCCGTGACGCCGATGGGGTCATGGTGGCCACATGAAGGTGTCTGGAACCACGTGGGTGGACAGATGCCTCCAACTGTCACCAAAAGAAAAAGAGACAGGAGTGAGAGAATAAAGACGTACCTGTGGGCTCACTGAAGAATAGATGCCAAGGTCCCGTTTGAAATCACAGCATTTCCCAAAACTGATCTCCTCAGCTACAGACCAAAAGCAAACTGGGAAACAAGGAGGGGTTTTTTTTTTTTTTTTGGAGACAGAGTCTTGTTCTGTCACCAGGCGCCAGGCTGTAGTGCAGTGGTGCAATCTCGGCTCACCGCAACCTCCGCCTCCTGGGTTCAAGCAATTCTCCTGCCTCAGCCTCCCGAGTAGGTGGCACTACAGGCGCGCACCACCACGCCCAGCTAATTTTTGTGTTTTTCAGTAGAGACGGGGTTTCACCATATTGGCCAGGATGGTCTCGATCTCTTGACTTCGTGATCCACCCGCCTCGGCCTCCCTAAGTGCTGGGATTACTGGCGTGAACCACCGTGCCCGGCCACAAGGAGGTATTTTGTTTAGGCCAGTGTCAACAATTACATCCTAACATAGGCTTTATGGCCTGGATTCCTGTGCTGCTCTGCCACCAGCACACTGTGTGGCCTCGAGCAAGTCCTTCACCCACAGTGAGCCTCAGTCTCCTAATCCACAATAAGGATAATAACACTGCCCACTTCACAGGGCCGTCATGGGGATCCAGTGAGAAGATGAATGAGACTTAGCTTGAATTCTGCCATTTTCTTACATCACTATTATTACCATTAGTTCATGAACACCACCCATGATATTCATTTTTCCCCAAAACAAGCATGCACTATTCCTAGTAACAGATGGACAGCTGCCAGGGAAACCTACATTTGTTACATTTTCAAATCCCTCTGAGTTTTGGGTCTTTTTCCCTGACTCTGGAATAAAATCGCTACTCTGAGAGCTGAGACGTCCAAGAGATGTTGGCCCAAATTGCCTTGGATGAGCCTGTGCCCACAGGTAACGGAAGCTCCAGGGAATAATGAGACGGTGCCCAGCACCTCACAAGAGACGCCCCGGGGAAAGCCGATGCTTCTGCAGAGGAGGATAACCGCTGTTTCTTGATGAATTCAAACACAGTGTCCACAAAAGAGGAGATTCGAAATTCAAATCTCCTTCAACCAAGCGAACCCCTGAGGTGGAGAGCGAGGAAAGAAAAGCAAGAAGGAGGGAAAGGAAGCTAAACTAACATTTACTAAGAACAGATCCTAATTGGGAGTGTCTTCATCTGCATGGCAAACCAAGCTGGGTTTTATCATCCCCACTTTACCGATGAGGAAACCGAGGTTCAGTTAGAAAATAAGGCAATGGAGATTCTAAACAGGCTTGTTGGACCCCCAAAGGGGCAGGAGCCTGTTCAAATAGGGACAGGGACAGGGACAGGGTGCAGTGGCTCACAACGTAATCCCAACACTTTAGGAAGCAGAGGCAGGAGAATCGCTTGAGGCCAGGTGTTCACGATCAGCCTGGGCAACAGATGGAGGCTCTGCCTCTACAAAAAAAAAAATTCGAAAATTAGTTGGGCGTGGTTGCGAGTACCTTCGGCTATGGTTATTTGGGAGGCTGCAGCAGGAGGCCCACTTTAGCCCAGGAAGTAGAGGCTGCAGTGAACCGAGACTGCTCCACTGCATTCCAGCCTGGATGACAGAGCGGATCTATATATACAGATAGATGGACATATAGAGATCCATATATATGTGGATTAAGTGAGAACAGATCCAAGGAAGGTGTGTGTAAACTGCAAACTCTGTGGCCATCCGTATTACCATTACTGTGAGAAAACTGGCCTGTGATTGAGAAATCATCTCTGTTCAGTTTATTCCGGTTGCTTTCACGGGCTGTAGGCAACTGATTGAGTTCACTTTTAAAAGAGTGGCGTACTGTAGTAGTTACAAACACATGTTTCAGAGTCAAACCAGACATGGGTTGAAATCCTGACTCCACAGCTAATTCGCTGTGTGGCCCTGAGCTCATCACTTCACCTCTCTGAGCCTGTTTCTCTGCAATGGCGAATTCCCTGCCTTATCATGGAGTCTCTATGAGGGAGCACTGAGCAAGAAGCCTGGTAAATGGTAACAAAGTGGTAGTTAGGGCTGGTTACTACTCATCATCTTCTGCACACCCTTTGAGTGCACAATAGTTCAGCACCCCCCTCCCTTCCATGACTCATCTGGTGGCTTCCAGACGGGCCCACCTGTCACCACAAGGGCTAAGGGGACACCTGCCTCATCTGATCTGATCAGAGTAGAATGGGATAGGAAGACAGATGTCACCCTCAGCCAGACTTGGCCTCTGCCCCTGAGAATCTCTGGCTATTGTTCCTCGGAGCTCAAGCTGACAGATGATTCAGGCCTCAGAGACAAGGGAAGGGGTCCTCTCGAAACAAAAGCCTAGCCTACAAGTTATTCAGAAGCCCGTTGAATCTGCACAATGGACCCAATGCCCCAGAAACACACTGCTCAAACAGGCTAATAATCACCCAAGAGACGAACCAGCAGCCTCAACAGAAATAAAAGCAAATCGCCGGGCGCGGTGGCTCAAGCCTGTAATCCCAGCACTTTGGGAGGCCGAGGCGGGTGAATCACAAGGTCAAGAGATCGAGACCATCCTGGTCAACATGGTGAAACCCCGTCTCTACTAAAAATACAAAAAATTAGCTGGGCATGGTGGCGCGTGCCTGTAATCCCAGCTCTCAGGAGGCTGAGGCAGGAGACTTGCCTGAACCCAGGAGGCGGAGGTTGTGGTGAGCCGAGATCATGCCATTGCACTCCAGCCTGGGTAACAAGAGCGAAACTCCATCTCAAAAAAAAAAAAAAAGAAAAGAAAAGAAAAATTGTAAATGACTAGCAGGACCAAGAGTAGGGAACTGATGAAGGAGAGCATGTTTATCTCCTCCATGAAACACTGAAATCTTTCATGATGGTTTCTGCAAACGTCATAATAACATGGAGAAACACATCTGATGTAACTTTTCAAAAGCAGTGTACATATAATGCAATTTCTTTTTATTTTTCTTTTTTTCTTTTTTTGAGGCAGTCTCACTCTGTCGCCCAGGCTGGGATGCAGTGGCATAATCTCTGCTCACTGCAACCTCCACCTCTCGTGTTCAAGTGATCCTCCTGCCTCAGCCTTCAGAATAGATGGGACTACAGGCACATGCCACCACGCCCAGTTAATTTTTGTATTTTTAATAGAGACGGGGTTTTGCCATGTTGACCAGGCTAGTCTCGAACTCCTGACCTCAGGTGATCCATCCACCTCACCTTCCAAAAGTGCTAGGATTACAGGCACAAGCCACTGCGCCTGGCTAATTTCCATTACTATTTTCAATAATAGAAAATATATACCAGAGACAAATACATAAAAATGGAGTTTTCAGGCTGGGTATGGTGGCTCACACCTGTAATCCCAGCATTTGGGGAAGCTGAGGCAGGCAGATCACTTGAGGCCAGGAGTTCGAGACCAGGTGGGCCGACATGGCAAAACCTCAGCTCTACGAAAAATAAAAAAATTAGCCGGGCATGGTGGCGTAGGCCTGTGATCCCAAGTACTTGGGAGGCTGAGGCACGAGAATCACTTGAACCCAGGAGGTAGAGGTTGTAATGAGCCGAAGATCACACCACTGCACCCCAGCCTGGGCAAAGAGTAAGACTCTGTTGAAAGAAAGAGAGAAAGAAGAAAGAAGAGAGAGAGAGAGAGAGAGAGAGAGAGAGAGAGAGAGAGAGAGAGAGGAGGGAGGGGAGAAAGAAAGAGAAAATGGAGTTTTCTTCTTCTGTTTTTTTGGGGCTTTTTTTTTTTTGTCTTTTCTAAATCCTCTATAATTATCATGCCTTTTATTAAACTTATTGAATTTGTTTTTAAAAATCAGCAAAAATTAGGCCGGGCATGGTGGCTCATGCCTATAATCCTAGCACTTTGGGAGGCCGAGGCGGGTGGATCACAAGGTCAAGAGATCGAGACCATCCTCGTCAACACGGTGAAACCCCGTCTCTACTAAAAATACAAAAATTAGCTGGGCATGGTGGCTTGTGCCTGTAGTCCCAGCTACTCGGGAGGCTGAGGCAGGAGAATTGCTTGAACCCAGGAGGCAGAGGTTGCGGGGAGCCAAGACCGAGCCACTGCACTCCAGCCTGGGTAACAAGAGTGAAACTCCATCTCAAAAAAAAAAAAAAAGAAAGAAAGAAAGAAAAAAATGAAAAACCAGCAAAAATTATAAAAATTCTCATTTATTTCTATTTATTTATTTTAGAGATGGGGTCTCACCATGTTACCCAGGCTTTCTTGAACTCCTGGGCTCAAGCCATCCTCCCGCCTCAGCCTCCCAAAGTGCTGAATTGCAGATGTGAGCCACGGTGCCCAGCCCAAAATCCTCACTGTTCATGCAGGAATAGGGAACCGTTCCCCTAAAGCTGGCGGTAAGGGGTTGTGGTTGTTCTGGGGAACACTGAGGACTTCGCCACTCTCCTCTGTTAAAGATTGAGGTCGCCGGGCGCGGTGGCTCAAGCCTGTAATCCCAGCACTTTGGGAGGCCGAGGCGGGTGGATCACGAGGTCAAGAGATCGAGATCAACCTGGTCAACATAGTGAAACCCCGTCTCTACTAAAAATACAAAAAATTAGCTGGGCATGGTGGCGCGCGCCTGTAATCCCAGCTACTCAGGAGGCTGAGGCAGGAGAATTGCCTGAACTCAGGAGGCGGAGGTTGCGGTGAGCCGAGATCGCGCCATTGCACTCCAGCCTGGGTAACAGGAGAGAAACTCCGTCTCAAAAAAAAAAAAAAAAAAAAAAAAAAAAAAAAGTGAGGTCAAGGCTTAAAACGAGTAAATTTCAGAACAGTTCTCAATGGAAAGGGTCACTAAATAGTAAAATCGAAGGGCATGGGGGACATGGAAGGTGTTTACATAAAATGCTTTCAACACGAAATTAACCAAAGTTAAAGTGGGATCAATTCAATGCCACTCAAAGCTAGGAGCTGGCAGTGTCGGGAAATGGTTTTCCCAGACTGCTGGATGGTTCTGCCTAGAAGGGTGGGGGCGCTGTGGGGGCACTGTTACCTCAACCAAGGATCTGCCCACCTGCAGCATGAGGATGAGGAGGTCTGAGTAAACATTAGACACCCAGCCCTACCCCAAACCTGCTGACTCATCCGCCTTGCCACGTGGCTCAGACATCTGCGTGTTGGAAGCAACGCCCCTAAGTCTGAGAACCACTGTCCTCAGGTTTCCCTGTCTGTCAAGTGGAATTACTCATCCCTGCCCTGCGTCTACCCCCGCCCCCGTCCCTGGGCCATCGCGGCGCGCCCAGATGCTCCCAAATGGGAATGCGCTTTGCAAAGCACTGAGTCCAGAGCGAGTGTTGTGCTTTGAGCCGCGCTCAGTCCCAGCCTGGCACCGAGAAGAAACAAAGCCCTTCCCTCAGGTTCTCTCGCAGTCCCCCCTCTCAGTTCCTCCCCTCCCCCCAGCAGGTGGGGGCGTTTTCCCCACGGCGGCACTGCAGTGGGGTGTGCGCGCCAGCAATCCCAGGCGCCGGGCATCCTCGGATCTGGAGCCTGGGATGAGGGTGGGGAATCTAGGGCGCGCCCCCCGGGCCTCCCCCTGCACAGTCCCAGAAACAATTTCTCTATGCCAGGACCCTCCGCTGGAAGAGGGGAAAGGTCTGGCCCCTCTCCTCCCAAATTCCCAGCCTCTCCAGGGAGTGTCCTGGAGCCAAGGAGAGGTGAAGAATCGGGCTGGTGGGTTCCGGGACCTCCTCAGATCCTTTAGGAGATGCAAATGGGCTTTAGAGTCCTGCATAGCTGATTCACAGTCACTGGCTGTGTGACCTTGGACATGTCGATAACCCTCTCTGAATCTCCTTTTCTCAGTCTTTAAAATGGGCTTGTTCCTTACCACCCCGTGGAATAGTTGTGATAACGTTTGCAAAGCACCAAGCAGGTCCCTGGCGTAGAGTAACCTCTCAATAAACTGATGTCACTGTTGTTTTCAGCGACGGTAAGTTACCAGCCCTCTCCATCCTTTCGGAGCCAAATTGGACGCCGGACATCTAGGATTTGAGTCCCAGAAGTGAAGGAATGGCAGGTTCTGGGGGGAGGGGGCGGGCTGGGTATGAGGGAAGGGGAGCTCAAGGACCCTGCCCCGCTACCCCAACCCCACCTCCAGTTTGAGACCCTCTGGGCTCTCCATGACTTGGCCAGTTAACTGCTTACTCCGTGAGCCGAGAAGGTTCGCGGGCCCACCTCCCAAATTCGGTCTCCTGTCGTCGGAAGGGAAGGGTCTTTGTTCCCCCTCACATTCATGACTTCAAGACCCCCATTCTCACTGGACTCCCAAAGCACCCTCCCCTTGCCCGGCCTCGCCGCCCGCCTGCGGCCCGGCCAGAGTCTGTGTTTGACAATCACAGGCTGCAAAGGGTATTCATCCATCAAATGCCGGGCACTTCAGGCGGCGTCTTCCACCCCCGAGCCCAGTCCCGGGACTCTGGGACCTACCCTCGACCTCAGCCTCGGGGAGTTCAGCTGTTACCGTTCGGGGAAGAGGGCGCTTGGGAAGGAAGGCTGCTAGCTCAGGGCGACGTCTTACCTCGGGTCCGCGGTCCTGCGGCGCGAGTGCAGACGGGCTCTTTGTGCCCCGGCTCACAGCGCAGAACTGGGGGAGCCCCTGCAAGCGCCTCCCACCTCAAACTCCTCCCCGCACTCGTCCGCAGCCTCCCTCCCTCCGGCCCCCCGAGCGCAGCCGGCGTCGTCTTTGTAGCTGCTGCAGCGCCCATGAAATTTTAATGCGGGAGCGGCTGGCGGGCGGAGGCGCCCCACCCGCGGCCCTCGCCTCCACCCGCCTCCCGCCTCCTTGCGCCCCTGCAGCCCCACACCTAACCCTCCCCTTTCCCCCGCCCAGAGTCCCGGCCGGGAGCGCGGGGTGCTGCCGGGCTGGGGGGTGCACACCGCCGCCCCTTCCGCACAAAGGGGCTAGCGGGCCGGCGCGCTCTGCCTCCCGCATCCCCACCCGCGGCGCTGTCATGGCAACGCTTGCCCGGCCACTTTCGGCCGCAGAGAGCTCAGGGCTGGAGAGAGGCGCAGGGGTGGCGCGCCACCGCGGGTCAGGGGCGCGGAAGTCTGAACCCCAGAGTAAGCGTACAGAAGACGCTGGTCCTGGAATAACGCCACGAGCCACACCGGTGAGACCTCGGGTGTATGCCTCTTTATGCACATGGTTATGGCGGAGTCCAGATTTGAACCCATGCCTGTAACTTCATGCGTGGACACCATTTGGCCTAAAAACATTTATAGGTTTAGTCTTTAATTTTTTTTTTTTTTTTTTTTTTTTTTTTGGAGACAGAGTTTTGCTCTTGTTACCCAGGCTGGAGTGCAATGGCGCGATCTCGGCTCACCGCAACCTCCGCCTCCTGGATTCAGGCAATTCTCCTGCCTCAGCCTCCTGAGTAGCTGGGATTAGCCGCCATGCCCAGCTAATGTTTTGTATTTTTAGCAGAGACGGGGTTTCACCATGTTGACCAGGATGGTCTCGATCTCTTGACCTCGTGATCCACCCGCCTCGGCCTCCCAAAGTGCTGGGATTACAGGCTTGAGCCACCGCGCCCGGATACTCTTTAATTTTTAATTATTATTTATTCTTACTATTTTAGAGATGGGATCTCACTCTGTCGTCCCGGCTGAAGTGCAGTGGCACAATCATAGCTCACCGCGTCCTCCAATTCCTGTTCTCAAGCAATCCTCCTGCTTCCCCCTCAGTCTTCGGAGTAGCTGGGACAACAGGCAGGAACCACCGCGCCCGACTTAGTCTTTTATTTAACTGCCCTCTTCTTCGTTCCTACTATTTTCTAAAGCAGGCAAGCTAGGAAGCGGTCCTGAAGCCCTGGTTCTAGAGCTGCAGTATCGACATTGCTTGGGAACTTGTTGGAAATCCAATTCACTGTCGGGCGCAGTGGCTCACCCCTGTAATCCCAGCATTTTGGGAAGCCAAGGCAGGCGGATCACCTGAGGTCAGGAGTTCGAGACCAGGCTGGCTAATATGGTGAAACCCCGTCTCTACTAAAAAAAATTAGCTGGGCATACTGGCAGATGACTGTAATCCCAGCTACTCATGAGGCTGACGCATGAGAATCTCTTGAACCCGGGAGGCAGAAGTTGCAGTGAGCCAAGATCGCACCACTGCACTCTAGCCTGGGTGAAAAGAGCAAAACTCCGTCTTAAAAAAAAAGAAAAAGAAATCCAGTTCAGGTTGGGTGTGGGGGCTCACTCTTGCCTGTAACCCCAGCACTTTGGGAGGCCGAGGGGACAGGTGTGCTTGAGTCCAGGAGTTCAAGACCAACCTGGGCAACAAAGCAAGACCTTGTCTCCACAAAATGTACCGAAAACTTAGCCAGGCCTGGCATGTTGTGCCTGTAGTCCCAGCCGCAGCGACCCCTGAGGGAAGAAAGGAAGGCCCAGGTATCTGTGTCATCGAGGCCCCCAGGGGATTCTGATGCACCCTCAAGCTGGAGAACCCCTGTGCTAGAACATTCCAGTGACCTTCAGAACCAGATTGTCCTGGGTTTAAATTTCAGCTCTGCTCATGCCTCTGACCAGATGTGACCTTGGGCAAGCTCCACCTCCTTCCTGAGGCTCAGTTACTTGGCCATAAAGTAGAGAGAATAATGGAATCCACATCATCCGGCTAAATGAAGTGTGCCTAGCACGGTTTCTGGCACCTAGTAAGGGCTGACGACATATTTTTATTATTAGACTACAGCATCTCTGTGGTCATATTTCTGTGAATACTGTTTACCATCTTCATTGCATGGGTAAAGAGGCTCAGAGAGGCAACGAGAGCTGCCTATAGACACTGTGATAAGGGGCCCAGGTAGATGTAAGGCTGTCCTTTTAGATTCCGACTCCTCCAGCTTTCTCTAGACTACACATCTATTGCTGGATCCAGCCCTGGTCTTCAGAAAATACAAATCCCATTCAACAAACTGTGAAACATTTCCAGTGTGCCCAGCCCAAGACCAAGGCAGGGAGCTTGAGAGTCCCCAGGAGGCTTTAGACACAGCGTCTGCTCTGGCAGAGTTAATAGTCCTGCCAGGGTAGTAAGACCCATTAGAAAGAGTCAGAGAAGGCCGGGCGCGGTGGCTCAAGCCTGTAATCCCAGCACTTTGGGAGGCCGAGACGGGTGGATCACGAGGTCGAGAGATCGAGACCATCCTGGTCAACATGGTGAAACCCCGTGTCTACTAAAAAAAGTGCAAAAAATTAGCAGGGCATGGTGGCACGTGCCTGTAATCCCAGCTACTCAGGAGGCTGAGGCAGGAGAATTGCCTGAACCCAGGAGGCGGAGGTTGCGGTGAGCCGAGATCGCGCCATTGCACTCCAGCCTGGGTAACAAGAGCGAAACTCCGTCTCAAAAAAAAAAAAAAAAAAAGTCAGAGAAAAGACAAGGCAGTGTGTGTGGTCACAGGCATTGTCCAGAGTACACAGTCCACTATCAGGGTGTATCCAATGTAATCACAGAAGTTGTTGTTTTTTTGAGACAGAGTCTTGCTCTGTCACCCAGGCTGGAGTGCAGTGACACAATCTCCTCTAACTGCAACTGCTGCCTCCTGGGTTCAAGCAATTCTCCTGCCTCAGCCTCCCAAGTAGCTGGGATCACAGGTGCCCACCACTACGCCTGGCTAATTTGTTTGGATTTTTTAGCAGAGACAGGGTTTCACCATTGGCCAGGCTGGCCTCGAACTGCTGACCTCAGGTGATCCGCCCGCCTCAGCTTCCCAAAGTGCTGAGATTACAGGCATGAGCCACCACGTCCAGCCAAAAGAAGTCCTTTTTAAAAATTTTTTGAGGCCGGGCGCGGTGACTCAAGCCTGTAATCCCAGCACTTTGGGAGGCCGAGGCGGGTGGATCACAAGGTCAAGAGATCGAGACCATCCTGGTCAACATGGTGAAACCCCGTCTCTACTAAAAATACAAAAAAATTAGCTGGGCATGGTGGCGTGTGCCTGTAATCCCAGCTACTCAGGAGGCTGAGGCAGGAGAATTGCCTGAACCCAGGAGGCGGAGGTTGCGGTGAGCCGAGATCGCACCACTGAACTCCAGCCTGGGTAACAAGAGCGAAACTCCGTCTCAAAAAAAAATTTTTTTTTGAGACAAGGTCTTTCCCTGTTGCCCAGGCTGGCGTGCAGTGACAAGGATCATAGCTCACTGAAGCCTTGAACTCCTCTTGCCTGAGTTGTTGTCAACACTCAGGTCTTCACCTGTCTAATCTTCCCAGACACAAGCGAAAAGGAAATACAATTTAGCAGGACACATTCTAAATGAATATGGGGATACATACAGGTCACCGCTCCCTTTCTTAAGTATTCCCAAGCCATCTGCTTTATCATCCATTCCCAAATTTTCCCAAGTGTCTATCATTTCCAATATCCACTTGGGAAAAAAAATCAAGCCACCTGTTCACCCCAAACTTTCACACTTCATCCTATTCCCTGAGCCTTCTAGAGCAATAGAATCGATGATCTTATCACCAAGCATCTTTGGTTCTAGAGATACTATCATCAAACCTAGGGTTAGGTGCTCACGACTTGAAAGCCAGACACCAGAGACAAGGGTTGATGGAAGGACGAGCAGGTTTACTTGGAGAGCTAGCAAAACAAAGAAGATAATGGACTATTTATTGTTCTAAAGTATCCTGTTAAGTCAATACAGATTTTATGCTGTTTTCATGTCAAAGTCAAGTGGAAGAGGCTGAGTGCGGTGGCTCACGCCTGTAATCCCAGCACTTTGGGAGGCCAAGGCGGGTGGATCACCGGAGGTCAAGAATTCAAGACCAGCCTGGACGATATGATGAAACCCCGTTTCTACTAAAAATACAAAAATTAGTTGGGCGTGGTGGTGGGCACCTGTAATCCCAGCAACTCAGGAGGCTGAGGCAGGAAAATCACTTGAACTTGAGAGGCGGAGGTTGGAGTGAGCTGAGACGGCACCATTGCACTCCAGTTTGGGTAACAAAGCAAAACTCCATCTCAGAAAAAAAAAAAAAATCAAGTAGAAGAGAAGGAAATTGAACTGGGATCAACAGATGACCAATTACCACCGAACACCTGGGCACCAGTGAGGGTCCAAGAAGGTTGGGAACGTCTTCGTCCTTGGCAAGGTCACAATGCTTTTATAAATCTTTAACAAAACACAGTTAAAGATTTACATACTTTACATGTTTACATGCTTCTCCTTTCATCCCAGAGTTTTTCAAAACTACGCGACTGCTTTTTTCTGCATATTATCTCAGTGCTCTAAAATTATCCTAGCCTACGTGCAGGAATGGGTAAAGGCCCCTTAAACAGAAATTGAGTTCGTTATGTTAGTTCTTTTGCTGTTTCACTGTTACAAAATCTTTTCAAGGCAAGCAGTGGGCAGGTGGCGGAGGGGAGCGAACGGGGTGGCCATTAGAGGACACTGTGGCTCACTGCGAATAGACTGTGTCTAACTCAGATGGACTCAGGACAAGCTACGAACCGAGTCATGCAAGGAGGGAGTGGACCCCCCTGTTCTGCAGGTGTGAATACCAGCCTGAGCCTTCTCTGCTCCCAGTTCTCTAGCACGATATATTTCTGCATCATGGAGTGGCCAAACTAGCTCTCCTGGGGGATTCAGCTGGTCCTTTGCCCTCCTTTTGCCCATCCATGCCTTTATGGTGGGCAAAGTCTTCCCTAGCATCCTCCACTTCCCTAGGGAAGGTTGGACATCCTTTGGGGTTCATGCCTGGTTTGAGAAGCAGAGCTGACATCC